CGCCATCGAATTCCTAGGAACTCTGTCCGTCGCGCTTGCTGGCCAGATCCAATGAAGAAGGGGACAAGTAAAGCCTCTAGGAATCGCTGGATAGTTGCTTCGTACTGTTCTACCATCTTCTGCGAGATCCGCCAGGTCTGATCAGCGCCCAACTCCCAAAACGTCGGAAATAGAACTGCATCCTGACTAACTCGACGGAAGAGCCAATCCTGATAGGGTACCACATAAGCATGATTGCGAGAATCTGTGAGAAAGGATGCACCAGCTTGTGTAGCGTCCCAGTTATCCATCAGATTATTGAGATCAAATTGAGGGATCTCGGTAGCTGGCCGTGATGGGCCGGATAAACACAACTCTTGCTCGAAGATGGCCTGGGCGGTAGAGATTCCCTCGCGGATCAGTTGAGAGAGTTCCAACAAGGACAGGCTTACATCTTGGAATGTAATGACTTGGCCCTCCCGATCCCATCGTACTTGAGCAGGGGGGACCTCACTCATTGCAATCTGGAATGCATACAGTCGATTCTCCAGTAGTTCAGCCACGGGTCCTTTGGTATCGTTAAGTAGCCATCGATCGCGGTGTCTAACAATAATATCTCCAAGATCCTGAGTGGGATAGTGCTGTTGTTCTAGGATAGAAAGAGCGAGGATCCAGATCTGACAGTTGTAGATCAGTTGCGAGAGGAAGGAGGTGTAGTTACCAACTGTCATCCACTGTTTCTTAGCTGGCATCCAGAATAAGAGTGCTGCAAAGGAGACCAGGATAGAATCAAAAGCTCGCAAAGGAATTGACTGTTGGATAATCTCAAGGCAGAACATGAGGGTTTGTTCATCCATCTCCTGCTGGAGTCGATGGAGAGCCTCGTCATTATCCGGCTCTGACTCTTGTTGGTGATATAGATTCTCCGCGGCAGTCATTATATCATTCCAGGCAGTCTTCTGACCCTCTGTTGGCTGAAATAAGGAATTAGGAAGGGCTTGGTCATCTATTACTCGACTCCAATAACAGACCAACTTCTGCCAGGTTTGAATGTACCGAGAGCGACTCTGAGGATTCTGGAGAGGCTGGATGGGATTCTGCGAGACCTCTCCTCGCGTAAAGGTATTGAGAAGTCGAGCATTGCGGCGACTTAGCCGTGGGATCTCACCAGCGTGGTTGTGATGCAGCAGCTGTTCGGTCTTTCTCCAGATTCGGTCCACGCTGGCGCAGATGAGATCTAATCTTATCTCATCACGATTGGGAAGTCGATAAAGATCTCCCACAGTTTCTAGATCTAATCCAGTGAGGTGAATGTGAATACCAGTGGTTCGCAACCATGGAGTAATTTCAGAGACATGCTGACTGTCATTCACAGTATATGATACAGAGTTCTGAGTTTGAAATGTACAGTATTCTTGGAGAAGGGTATCCAAGGAAGGCAGATCATTGGTAGTAAAGGCAGGCGCATATCCAGGAGTATTAGTATGTAGATCATGTGAGGTGTGAATAGAGTGAGCAAGTTCCACTGTAAAATACTGGATGTCTTGTTGTTTGGAAAATAGTGTCTGTAGATACACCTGATACCAAGGCATAACACCTTGGGACTTTCGCCATCCATGTTCCTGGTTATAATGCTGTCGTATACAATCAGTATTACGGGATCGATAATCACAGTTCTCAATATGACAGGTAAATCCAGGTATAATTGGAAGACCATTAATCTCAGTAGTACCATCAGAGGGTTGTACTACTGTATCAATTGTCTTAGCAATTAAGGAGAATTCAGGATGTTGCTCAATATGAACTTGCTCGTAGCGTTTTAAATGATGTCGTTTGCGTAAATGTTGTTGGAGACTCTGCTGGGTAAAGCATGATCCATGTTGTTGACAAAGAATTACCCGCCACTCAGGTAACACACGAAGATAGGGAGGGAAAGAGTAAGACTCCTCACTCATTTCTAGAGATTTTGAGTTGAAGTAAGAAGAGGTGGTATTGAGATGTGTAGAAACTTGGTTGTAGTAAAAAATTTACAAAGGAAGAGGATACAACTACGTAAATAAAAAAAATGAGTTGGTGACTATTCTACCCCTGAGACGCTGACCACGCTAAACCAATCTTGCCTAGCTCCCGAAATTTTTGTTAGCAATAACCCTGAGGTGTTCAACACCTCAACGTAAACTATGTATAGTGGTGGAGTAACAGGTCATGGAGTGTAGGCGGACCATTGTAGCTAGTAAATACCCAAAATCTACTCAAAGTGGACCTCCCTGTAAGACCACGGCAGCTATGGAAATGCGTCAAAGAGTCTCTTATTTGTACATAAATCTGATAGGACCCGAAACCCGAGGCTTACCCCTCGGCGGCCTATGTCCCAGTAGGGATCGGTGGGAAGCGTGCGAGTCACGAACCACGGCCGTTAAATATATATACACACACACACACACACACACAATCTGGGCCTTAATCTGTGTGCGCAGTGCTTGGATTTCCTCTTGTAGCTTTGTATTCTGCTCTCTCAGGGCAATTTGTTCTGTTTTAACCTCCTGTATCTCCGCCCTTGCTAATTCAATTATACTGGTTTGTTGGGTGATTGCTTTCTTTAGACTGTTAACAAGGTTTGTAATCATTTGTGCTCCTATTTTGGTTGCGTTCACGTCAGGGTTAGGGTTAGCCGGCTCGGCAGCTGTGTTGCCTCGGAGCGTTGCTGCAGGGCTATTTCATTTATGGCTAAGATAGTTTATTCTGTTTTCATTTTCTCTTTCCTGCTCTTGACTAAGGTGCCCTGGTCGTTTAATCTTCCAATCTGATTTACTTTGCTGTATTTCTGATGGTGATAATGGGGGATTATCTGGATCTGGGGTACGCGTCGCGGAACAACCTACTGCGGTGTGGGTCACAATGGGCATGTTGGCGTTACCGCGTTGGCTCGTTAATCACCACAACAATCGGTTCAAATTCATTCTTTTCGATTCAATCTCGATGCAGTACCGAGAGTTACAGTGCGTTCGATGCCGATGCAGTCGATGCAGTACAGTCATGCAGTACAGTCGCCTATATATACAGCCCGTCTCGAAACTGGCTTCCGCCTGAGAGTTACAGTGTTGTTGTTGTTGTTGTTGTTGTTGTTGTTGTTGTTGTTGTTGTATTCATACACTAACCCCTCGCCGAAGTGATATGCAGGTAAAACACCATCTAATCCTTGTCTATCTTTATGTACAGTAAACCATTATATACTGCCGAATTTAGAGCCTTGTCACGGCCTGTGATAGCCTTAATGCCTGATATTGTGTTAAGTGGCTCTATGGCACGCGGCTTTGAAATCTCTATAATGCCTCTGCAAAGTCTAGTACTGCACCAATGATGCTACCACCTTGTATATTATCCTCTTTACCTTTCTTACCTTGAAATCTTCCTCCTAGCATGTTTGAAATATCATTGAATGCAGTCCTAATCTTTCTCCGTAGCTCTTGTCGTGGGACCCTCAATTTAGAGCAGTCAATCAGAATATGAATCACTGTTTCTATAGCCCCACACTTGCATTTGTCGTCTTCTCAGAGTTTATATAGTTTGCTATGTGTTGCGAGCCATAAATGGCCCGTTTAGAGCTGTGTGAGTAGATAGCTGCAATTCTGTCGCAGCAAGCTGTATATTCTCTGGGTATAGACTGAGGATAGGTTTGGGTCTATCTAGTAGAGATAGTGGCCCTTCCCCGACATCTTCTATCCCTGCTCCCATTCCTTCTGGATTTAGTTGCAGATAAATCCTTTCTCCCACAACAGTAGATGTTGAAAGGGGTGTTCTTTCTTGGGGCCCACAGCTTCTTTAGCTAGCTAATTAGCTATCTTATTGCCTGGGTCACTACAATGTCCTGGCACCCACTGGAGGCAGAGTGGGATTCCCTGTGTTTATAACTCTTGCGCTAATTGTTAAACTACTTGGATAATCCTCTGTCCTAACTTATTCCATATATTAGAGAGGGCTTGAAGCGCTAACATGCTATCACTTAGGATAGTTGCTAGTTCCTGTCTATCTATCATAGCTTGCTGAGTTTCTATTGCAATCTTGAGGACAAGACTAATGGCATAATATATAGCCATGAGCTCAGCTGCATATACCAACTAGTATTCCATGGAGCTAATGCTGACTTTCCGCTGTTGGATTATATTATTATTTTGGTCTAGGGCGACCGCTGCAGCTCCTAGATGGTTATGTTGGCCTGACACATCTGAGAAAACTATAATGCTGGCTGTATCTTAGAGAGTAGATGCTTTGTGTTTAGCTTTGTCATGGTCTAGTTTGATGTTAATCTCTAGGAACGCTAGGGTCCGCCATGGTGGTGGAGGGGTTACATTGATAGTTTCCAGGGCCTGGAGTCGGGTAAGATCCATTGTCTGCAGGGTTTCTGCAAGAGGGAACCGAGGTCCAGTTCCTATATGTAGGCTTTATGAGGCTGCTTGGACCACCACCACATAGCCTAGATGGTCGTCTGGGAGGGTGCTAAGGCGGGCGGCGACAATCTGTGCACGTTGTTTGAGTTGTAAGTGGGTTAGCAGTATGTAGGATTCAACCTCAAGCACTGTGGTGGATATGGTCTTGAATGCAGAGAGAATGCGAATAAAGACTGTTCTCTGCACGGTACCCAGCGTCTGCAGGTGGACCTTATCCTTCAACAGATTGTGCCAGACGGTAGATATATAATCTATAATTGGTGTTATACATGCTTGGTAGAGTTGTCACATCTGCTCTGGGCGGAGGTGCCTCAGTCCCCCAAGGGCAATGTTCACCTGGGTTGCGCGTTTGACAGTTTGTTGTACATGTTCCTTCCACTGTATCTCCTGATTAAAGACTATGCTAAGGAGCTTTACTGTGTCGCTGGGCTTGATGGTTATCCCATTGATTGTAATTTGTCCCACCCTATGCTATCTTTTGGATCTTGTGAGATGGATCAGTATGGTTTTCTTCACATTAAATGCGGATCCTGTCCATCGGGCTCATACCTCGATGCGCGGTATATCCTCTTCCTAGATCTTTCTGACATTGTCTTCTGCGGAGGGACCGGCTCGCCATCGAAAGTAGTCATCAATGAAAGCTGACGCGCCTCCGTGGTGGTCGACGGGCTGGTCGACCAGGTCGGAGTTAAAAAACCCAAATAAGATGGGGGACAGCGGGGACCCTTGCGCTAGGCCCGCGTGTTCGAGAGAGGAGATCTCTGTTTGAAAGTCATCGAAGGAGATGCTGGCATAGCGGCTTTCCATGAAGCTGCGGATCCAGTGTCTGGCAATAACTGGGATCCCTTTGGCCTGCAGGCGGGCGTCAAGACTTGAGATGTTCACTCCATTGAATGCCCCTTTGAGGTTGAATGCTATCAGCATGATCACTTTGGACTGTAGCCACGCTCGATCGATGGCATTTGCTAGTACTAAGAGTGCCTGTTCCGTATTCCGTCCTGGTTGGCCTCCAAACTATGTGTTTGGGAGCAACTTGTAGGTCTCAGCCCAGAATGACAGTCTACGAGCCATGACTGCTTCGAGTATCTTCCCCGGGGTATTTAGTAGGGAGATAGGCTGGTATGCCTCTGGTAATCTGTAATCAGGCTTTCTAGCTTTCCTGAGCACTATGATGCGTGCACGCTTCCACTGGTGAGGATAGTGGCTTAGATCCACTGATTTTGTGAAGATGTAGGTGATCACCTTCCGGAGATAGGGCCATAGTTGTTTCTAGACTAGGGTGATAATTCTATCTTCTCCCAGGGCTGTCGTTCCCTTTGCGGCTTTGAGTGACCAGTGTATTTCCAGTTCAGTAATTAGGTGCCACGGAATCTTTTCTGAGGGTATTGCGATATCTTTATCTTCTGGTTCTGCCATCTCAGGGAAGAAAGCTTCGAGAAAGACTTTAGCCTTTGCTTTATTTTTGGTGACTAGCATCAATCCCACCTGGAGGGCAGGGATATTCGAGTAGGATTCCCGTGGTCACATGTATGTTACTGCTTTCCACAGGTGGCCTTCCTAGGCTGTGTCGAGGAACTCCTTCTAATGAATGGCTTTCACCTTCTTAATCGTTTAGGTCCATTCCCGCCGTTTAATGCGCATTTCATTGAAGAGAGATATAGTGATTGGGTGGTTACTGCCCTGGGTGGCACAGCTACTCTGCCATTGTCGGCGTGTTTGATTCATAGTGATCTGTTGGGATTTAAGTTCTACTGTAAACTATTATTTTGAATATGGGGATAGCTTTTGCAGTGGAACATGCTAATTAAGAATCTTTGTCGTAGTTTCCACTAATCGCTTGACTTTGGAGTCAAGGTCTGTGATGATGTGTATTTCCGGTGTTTAACTGAGTGACTCGAGTAGTTTTGGACCAATCTTCGCCCAGTCAGCTCAGTCATATGCTCTTTTAGGTTTTGCATTCTTGTTGCGTTCTGGTCGTAGGTCCCATTCGGAGTATGTCCCGCGATAGTCTGATCTGTAGTTGTCATGGTAGAGCTGGCACTTAATCAGTATGGTAGTGTAAGGCGGAGAACTTAGAATCGGGGATAACTTCACCAGGGAAGCTGGATCACGTGGTCAATTCCGGCTGCTTAGTCATTACCCGAACCGCACTACGGCTCGGCTGTGTATTTAGCTACGATTCGAATAGGATTCAGAAGGTAGCAAATAGCTACCTTACGAATCGTGCCCTACCTTGAAAATCGAAGCTATATTCGTATCTCATTATCACGCCCTCTACCCACTCTCTTACAGTCTATTTGCTCCCCCTGAGAAGAGAGCCCGATTGTGAGAAACGAAATGGCTACACGTCGTAGTGAACGGATCGGCTCACAACAAGTAACCAACCCTCCGACCGATAATCACGAATCAACAACGACTTCTGTTCCGAACCCTCCAATGGAACAAGATATGACTGACAGCCTGCCAACCCCCAACGTCAGCCATGCCGCTGTCCCCAGCGCCAATGCACCTTCGAGCCAGCCTGTAGGGATCAGTAATGAATCGGCAGGGACCAACACAGAAACCCCTATCGAGAGTGTCACGGAGCAACCAAGTGACATAAGCCCTCTACAGGACCAGATCCTCGACCCGGCGAGGCCTATTGCGTCTTACACGCTAGAGGAACTTCGTGCTTTCTCTCCAGCTCAACGCCTAGCCTATAAGACCCGGGTTGAGCAAGAAAAGGCACAACGGGAGTGGGAAATCGAATCCGAAATCCTATTCACCACAGCACAAGCGCTGGCGGAGCCTTTCGAACCAACTGTTTCCATGGTCCGCAGTGGACGAAACGTGCAGAATACCACTTATAATGCTCCAAGTGAATCTGACGCCCCTGGAGAACCGATGGAGGTTGAAGAACCCATCGAAGCTGCTCCGAGAGCGAGAAGACGCCGTCGCGAATCGTCATCATCTGTTGAAGGACGAGACAAGAAACCCCCATCTGTTAATGTCAAAGAATTCAAGGGCGATTCGGTCAACGAAAAGATGGTTTATGACATCAAGATGCAGAACCACTTCAGCCGTCACGCGTGGTATTACAATGTGGGAAATACGAATCACAAACGTATTCTCGCTGCCGAAGAAAACCTCAGCGATGACGTTGCGAAGAAATGGCATACGTTCAAACGGGATGGCCACAATCCTGAAAATATGACGTGGGACGAATTCGACGCCTTCCTGATTCGATGCATCAAGGATCCGAGGATTCTAGGCATCGAGGCTGAAGGCAAGGTCGAGAGCGCTAGACAGCGCGAATCCCAAACCGTCACCGACTTCAATGTTTACTTGAGGAGTTGGGAGCAACACATCCCACACCCATTGAACGAAGCGCAACGCAAAGGACGACTTCGTTCAAAGATTCTTGCAAACCTCCGTACCCTAGCTGTCTCCCGACACACCGACGAACCGGAAGACTATGATCGTTTTGTCGTGTGGTTGCAAACTCTTGAAGATGGCATGCCGGAGAGACAGGAGGCGTTGCGTAGAGGAAGAAATCGCCGAAACGGCAACAACACTGGGAATGGTGGTGGTAACCCACCTCCTGGTCCTCCTGTTCCTCCTGAGTCCGGACAGCAACGGTTCGGTCGGGATAGGAACCGAAACGGGCAAAACCGCAACTTGAATCGTGATAACGATCGAAACAAATCGGACAAATTGCCATCTGGATCGCATAACCAGAGTCACAAGAAACATCAGCGTGACAAAGACGTTACGTGTGGTAACTGTGGGAAAAAGGGCCACACCGAGCTTCAGTGCTGGGATAAACACCCCGAGTTGAGACCCAAATGGGCAGCTCGGAAGTGACTCGTTGACTGGATCCCTGACACTGCCACACTCCTTTCTTTGCGAAGCGTACAGCGGAAACGCGGGCTTTGCATATCTGTCTATGCATATATCAAGACAGAGCAAGGACTGGTAAAGGCTCTCGTGCTGATTGATGGAGCAGCCGACAGCAACTTCGTCAGCAAAACATGGGCTCGTCGAAATAAGATTCAACTTACGGAACGTGCTGTGTTGGCAGAAGCTGTTGACGGACACAAGATTGCTACATATGGCAAAACAAAGTTGGATGTGACCGTGCCAGATACTGGAGATATGGTTGGAAGGACGTCGTTGTCGTATCATGCGGTCGACATGACGAAGTACGACCTTATTCTTGGTGTCCCGTGGCACGTAGCGGCTAACCCAGACATCCTCTGGATACAAAGAGAATGGTATTACCGAGACGAAACGTCTACAGCGATCGTATTAAGGTACTATCGCTCTCGGAACGGTACAATCCAGCGCTGGGAAGCAGACCCAAACAAGTCACGTGAACCTAGCACTCCCGAAATCATCTCCGCAGTTGAAGCGGATAGAGAATTGCTGGATGGAGCACAAGCTTTCGTTGTTGAACCTGGCGATCCAGCAACTGGGCCCTCTGACTTGCTGGCAGCGACAGAGATCAGCAACCTCCCGGATTATGTGAAGCCTTTCGCAGATGTATTCTCAGAGGAACACGCCGCGGAGTTGCCTCCTCGTACGGAACGTGATCACGCCATCGATATTGAGCCTGGCAAGGATCCCCCGTATCGGTCACTATACCGTCTCAGCCCTAAAGAATCGGAAGTGCTACGAGAATACCTCGTAACGAATCTGGCGAAGGGTTGGATCCGTGAATCCAAGAGTCCCGCTGGAGCGCCTATCCTATTCGTTCCGAAGAAGGATGGCGGTTTACGTCTCTGTGTCGATTACCGTGGGCTGAATGCAATCACGATCAAGAATCGTTACCCCCTTCCTCTTATCGGTGAGACGATCGATCGGCTAGCGGGGGCCAAAATCTACACCCAACTCGATCTCCGTGATGCGTATCATCGCATCCGGATCAAAGAAGGCGATGAATGGAAGACAGCGTTTCGCACACGCTACGGACATTATGAGTACACCGTGATGCCGTTCGGTCTTGCCAACGCACCAGCCACATTCCAGGCGTACGTGAATCGCGCCTTAGCTGACCTGCTCGACATCTGTTGTGTGGCGTATTTGGACGATATTATCATCTATTCGCAAGACGAATCGTCCCACACAGATGACGTACAACGGGTCCTGGAACGACTACGGCAGTACAAGCTCTACGCTAAACTGTCCAAGTGCGCCTTCGAAAAAACTGAGATCCGGTTCCTCGGATTCATTGTGTCGCCTGAAGGTGTGCACATGGAACCGGAACGAGTCTCTACGATCCGTGACTGGCCCGTTCCTCGAAATGTCCGAGAAGTTCTCCAATTCACAGGCTTTGCGAACTTCTACCGTCGCTTCGTGGAAGGCTATTCACGAATCGCTGCACCTCTCACTAACATGACCAAGGGTCATGAGTGGGCCCGGAAGGGATCGAAAGCGGACCAAGAAGCGAATGCCAAGTTCGTCTGGACCAAAGAAGCTCAACAGGCTTTCGATTCACTTAAAGAAAAGTTTACGACAGCTCCGTTCCTGAGACATTTCGATCCCGAATTGCCGCTGCGGGTTGAAACGGACGCGTCGAACTTTGCTATATCTGGAATCCTAAGTCAATTACAGCAAGACGGGCACTGGCACCCCATCGCGTACTATTCGCGCAAGCTGACGGGTCCCGAAGTGAGGTACGAAACCCACGATTCGGAGATGCTAGCTATCGTCGAAGCATTCAAACACTGGAGACACTACCTCGAAGGCAGTGCTCACACTGTGTCCGTACTAACGGACCATAACAACCTAACCTACTTCATGACCACTAAGGAACTGAATCGTAGGCAAGCTCGTTGGGCCGAGAAGCTCTCTGCGTTCGATTTTGATATTGAGCACCGGCCCGGGACCACCAATCCCGCGGATGCACCGAGCCGCAGACCTGACTATTACACCGGTGACGAACCGGGTATCACTCTTCTGCCAACTCTACGAGAGAAGTTACGTCGCGGACTCTACTCCAAACCCGAATCACGTCCTCAAACTGATAGCAGTGCCGAATCCGAGCCTGCTTTCGTGCATCCGGAGAAGCTAAAGGACCCTTCTCATGTCGACAAACCCACATCTTTGACGTCTCGAAACGCGTGTCGAAGACAGAAACGTGCCGCTGGCAGTCCAGATAACCTAGGAATCTTGACTCCACGATCTGTCGTGCTGGCAGCCGTACAGACCGAGGCCGCCTTCTCGGATATGCCAGAAGAGCTCGCAGCTCTGATTCACCGTTGTCAACAGGCAGACGTGCTTGCGGAATCGATGAGAAAGCAGCTTGCGAAACCGAGAGAAAAGGTGAAACGGGAAGACTGGTCTATTGGACCGGACGACCTGTTACGGTTCAAAGGCGCGGTGTATGTCCCACCGGACCACGCGCTGAGACAAGAAATCTTAAGGACGAATCATGACGATCCCCAAGGTGGCCATTTTGGCCTAGAACGTACCCATGAAGTGATCGGTAGTAAGTACTACTGGCACGGATCGTACGTCGATACGCAGTACTACGTCAGGACCTGCAATCTATGCCAACGGGCGAAGTCGCACCGTCACAAAGAATATGGGTTGCTGAAGCCGCTTCCGAAACCAAACGAGCCGTTTGAGATCGTCACCCTGGACTTCATTACGGATCTCCCGTTGTCGAAGTGGAGGGGTAGGATTTACGACTCGATCCTTGTTATTGTCGAACCACTGACAAAGTACGTGATCTATCTAGCCGTCACGAAGGACACTAAGTCCGAGGACCTAGCTGAGATCTTGTACGAAACGTTGGTCAAGTTCTTCACGGTCCCAAAACATATTGTTAGTGACCGAGCCAAGATCTTCACATCCGCGTTTTGGAAAACGTTTTGCTGGCACATTGGGGTGAAACGCAAGCTATCTACAGCGTTCCACCCTCGAACCGATGGTCAAACGGAGAGGCAGAACCAAACCCTGGAACACTTCATGCGAACGTATGTCAACTTCGAACAAGATGATTGGGCAAGATGGATTCCCATGGCTCAACATGTTTACAACAATTCGAAGCATAGTGTTACCGGAACGACCCCGATGGAAGCCCTTATGGGTTTCCGAGGTCAGATCCGAATCAACGTTGAGGATCAACCGCCATCCGAAAATGAGTTCGACGAAGATCCTGAATCGGATACGCGTCGGCCATCGAAAAGGGCAAAGAATGCTACGGAACGTGCCAAGGCTATGCACGAACAAAGGAAACACCTCCACGGATTACTGCAGAAGGCAGCCGAAGTGCAAGCACACTACTACAACCGTCACCGAATGGATATGCAGTTCCAAATTGGCGATTGGGTTATGCTTCGGACAACAAACATTACACCACCGGGAGGCAGGAAAAAGTTCGATTCGAAACAAATTGGTCCATTCCAAGTGGTGGATACGTGGGGAACGAATGCCTATAAGCTGGCACTCCCACCTAGGTTTCGCAATTTACACAATGTATTCCATGTCTCACTACTCGAACCGTTCCGGGATAGTGCCCGAAACCCAACACCCCCGGAAGGCACACTAGTGGACGGTTACCTTGAGTACAAAGTGGAAGGCATCCGAATGGTACGAGGTCCCCCAAAGAATCGTGAATACTACGTCAAATGGGAGGGATACTCTGAGGATGAATGCACATGGGAACCTCTTGAATCGGTCAAAGACACCGCAGCATTCGAAATCTTCCTACAGAATCCGATAGAGTTGCGTGACGCAAAACGGAAAAGGAAAAAGAAGATTCATTGATTGTATCGGGCTAGCTAAACCAAAGGAAAAGACGCAATGCAGCGCGGGCTAGCCACGATTCGGGTATCAAGAATTAGGAAACGAACGCAAATCGTCGGTAGTCGGCTATCGTGACTCATGACCGAATCACTCCTCGTCAGGATCATGTGTACTACGAGTTGTTAGCGAACGTAGCACAAAACAAAAGAGGATCTTACCGAATCCAATCCGAAACGATCTTGCGAATCGAAAGACGGAGGTCATTCGGGACGGCCAGATCTTTCACACCACGTCTGAAGTGCAAGACAGAATCGTAATCAGCCTCCGAAACGCGAGAAAGTTCGAAGGAAGGACTAGGCGAAGCGATTGGTTCGGATTCAGATTTTATGACACGATTCTTCTTCCCGGCAGGCTCTGCAGGCATACGTTCCAAGAGAGCCAAGGCCGACCCGCGGACACTATCCGTATGTCCTTCGAGTTCGAAAGCAGCATAAATCGCATCCGAATCCTTGGCGAATTCAGCAGGGATCTAGAAATGTCAGCACGAATCGAAAAGGAAATGGATTGCGTAACATACAGGAAGACAAGGCGAAACGTGCTTTCGGGCACATGTGCTGCACTGGCTGTTGACGCCGATTCGTGTCTCGTGCTTGACGTCGTAGCAACGATGCGGATATTTTATGAACGAATCGTTGGTGATGCTGCGGATACACTCGTAACAAGGTACGGACCGCACATCACCGAGAGGACGAATCGTACCGGCTTTCGTCTTCAGAACAGGGACTTCGAGGCGCGATTTGGAAGGACTAACCGCGTCGCTATTCGATCCGTGGTCGGATGAGCCTTCGGAGGCCAGACCAGGCGATTCGGAAACGGATTTGGCAGACTTCTTCTTGTGCTTCTTGCGGCGTTTCGAAACAGCCACAGCAAGCGAATCTGAGGCACGTTTCACATGCTCCTCAAGACGCTCACGGGAAACGGGACCCGGAACAGCAAACGTACCCGAGGAAGTACGTGGCACTTCGCGCTGGACGTCACGTTTCATGGAGAACGACATCTCTTATACGATTCGTTAGCCGTGTCGGGACGACACTCGCAAAAAAGGGGGACGATTCGCGCACAACTCGAAGACAGAAAACACACAGACAAAAAACAACAAAACATCCGTATCTCGAGTCAAAATAGGCACGTTACGACGACGAAGGGACCTCCAGATACACCTGCAAGAAACAATAATAACAGACGAACGCGAAGAAACGAGAGCTCGACTCGATACGCATCCTAGCCAACGTACCAGGCGCGCCAGAGTCAGAGAACGTTTATAGAGTTGACCCAGGATCACACGTCGCACAACCAAACAAACTCGACTCGACTCGTATAAGACCCCAAAACATACAGAAAGCGAGGTAATAAAGATAGTGCGAAGTAAGCAAGATTCGCATTGGCAAGGACAACAGGGACGAACGCGAAGAAGGAATGTGAAACAAGGGAAACATGACACTTACCAAACGTGTTGGTGATGAAGAGGAAGAGAAGAAGAATCGAGAGGCAGATATCAAAACAGAAGATATATGGAGGCGGGGTGCGCCCAGCGTTTGCACATACGCCAAACACTACGTGACAGATTCGTCCGTTTATATATCCGAACTTGGAAAAACAGCCCTCGTGATGGACGGATTGAATACGTCACGATAAAGGAGCTGCAGGGACTCAGCTCCAAAAGAGGGAGATGGCTGTAAGGCGGAGAACTTAGAATCGGGGATAACTTCACCAGGGAAGCTGGATCACGTGGTCAATTCCGGCTGCTTAGTCATTACCCGAACCGCACTACGGCTCGGCTGTGTATTTAGCTACGATTCGAATAGGATTCAGAAGGTAGCAAATAGCTACCTTACGAATCGTGCCCTACCTTGAAAATCGAAGCTATATTCGTATCTCATTATCACGCCCTCTACCCACTCTCTTACAGGTAGGGTTATTAGTGAGTGTCAAGTCCAGCACTGATGCTTTTCTGGGGTGGCTTGGTGACCAGTATGTGGGGATGTTAGAGGGTAGACACCATTGGAGCTAATATTCTTGAAAGAAGTTGATTAGTTCTTCTGCTTGGGCGGTAAAAACGTGGCTGACCGCGCGGTGGCTCCATGCTGGATGGTGTTGATTGAAGTCTCCCGCCAAGATCAGCCGTGTAGTCTTGTGGGTTTCTCTGGTATGTTACTCAATGGTGGTTTTTATTTCTTCTAGTGCTGATTCTGCAGCAGTGGTATCAGCTGCTTTGTGCACATCCAGTGGAGGAATATAGACCGAGAAGACAAGGAATTGTATCACGGCAGTCCATATCTTGATTACAACTAAGTCTGGATGGTTGCAGTGGATCTGTCAATGGGAGGAGGTTGAAATTCTTTTATTCATGTAGAGAAGGCTACGGAACTGGGTCAATTCTGTATTTGGGTATGTTGGTCAATATAGTTACCATGCACTATGGTTCACATGGGTACAGTATGTGGTGATGGATGGTTCTTGGATTAGGAGTAGATCCAGGCTCTGGCTTTGGTGATCATTGATGAGGGCTTCCATTCCTGCCCTGGATTTCTAGATGTTCAACTGTAGTAGATAGAGTATAGTTGTCATTATTGGGATGCATTTGGGTTCAGAGGTGTTCGGCATCTCTGATATCCTATAGGATGTTCCCTGTTACAGTCTGCATACCTTGGTCTGATACCCGGTGAATAGTAGCGTTATTTATATTGGCCACTGCAGTGGCTACATTTCACCTGTTCTTTGCATGACCAAGTGAGATGACTAAATTTCTGGTAGTGGTAGCATCTTTTTAGTTCTACCCTATAGGGCTCTACACTGCCAATATATCTTTGTCCAACTAGAAAGCCATAGTTAATGATTAATTCTACTGCCTCTGGTGTGTTAAACTAGACACCTATTGATGCTAATCTTCCTAGTGGTCTGTCCTTTTTCTTTAGCCATATAATATCTTCTATTTTAAATCCTTTCTTAGCGAGGTCATTCTCTTCCATAATCTTTGCGATTCCTTCTTTCTTTTCTCTGTCTAAGTCAAAATCTTCAGTTGGTACTTGGTGAACTATAATACTAAATCTGGGCTTCACTAGTTTGGTGTTGTTTCTGAGTTCCTCCAGCCATGTAGAGTTTTCCTAGGCGGTTTCCGCCGATTGCGCATCTCTAAACCTGATTATGTAACTGGTCTTGGTGGTGCTGACATCTGCTACCTATATATCTTTGGTGGGTTCTGTGTTGGCTAGGGCCATTCTGATATGCTTGTTCGTGGTGTCTGTGGGTAGGAATCTTATAAAATTGTTATTATTGCTTCTATTATCATTGGTTTTGACTGGCCGTACGGTGCTGATTTGGACGCAGTTTAATTCTCTTTGGGGCTGTTGGATGGTGTTAGTGTCTTGTGGGTTGCTATTAGTAGCTATTTTAGCCCATGGACTTGGTGGTAGATTTGTGGTTGTCTAGGCCTCAATCTGTGTGCGCAGTGCTCAGATTTCCTCTTGTAGCTTTGTATTCTGCTCTCTTAGGGCAATTTGTTCTATTTTAACCTCCTGTATCTCCGCCCTTGCTGATTTAATTATATTGGTTTGTTGGGTGATTGCTTTCTTTAGACTGTTAACAAGGTTTGTAATTATTTATGCTCCTATTTTGGTCGCGTTGGCGTCAGGGTTAGGGTTAGCCGGCTTGGTAGCTATGTTGCCTCAGAGCGTTGCTGCAGGGCCATTTTGTTTATGGCCGAGATGGTTCATCCTATTTTTATTTTCTCTTTCCTGCTCTTGACTGAGGTACTCTAATCGTTTAATCTCCTGACCTGATTTGCTTCGCTGTATTTCTGGTGGTGATAATAGGAGATCATCTGGATCTGGGGTATGTATCGCGGAATGACCCACTACGGCGTGGGTCGCGACGGGCATGTTGGCGTTACCGCGTCGGCTCGTTAATCACCACAACAATCAGTTCAAATTCGTTCTTTTCGATTCAATCTCGATGCAGTACCGAGAGTTACAGTGCGTTCGATGCCGATGCAGTCGATGCAGTACAGTCATGCAGTACAGTCGCCTATATATACAGCCCGTCTCGAAACTGGCTTCCGCCTGAGAGTTACAGTGTTGTTGTTGTTGTTGTTGTTGTTGTTGTTGTTGTTGTATTCATACACTGACCCCTCGCCAAAGCGATATGCAGGTAAAACACTATCTAATCCTTGTCTATCTTTATGTACAGTAAACCATTACATATCGCCGAATTTAGAGCCTTATCACGGCCTGTGATGGCCTTAATACCTGGTGTTATGTTAAGTGGCCCTATAGCGCGCAGCTTTGAAACCTCTGTGATGCCTCTGCAAAGTCTAGTACCATACTAATGATGCTACCGCCTTGTATATCATCCTCTTTACCTTTCTTACCTTAAAACCTTCCTCCCAGCATGTTTGAAATATTATTAAATGCAGTCCCAATCTTCCTCCGTAGCTCTTATCATGGGACTCTCAATTTGGGGCAGTCAATCAGAATGTAAATCACTATTTCTATGGCCCTACACTCGCATTTGTCGTCTTCTTGGAGTTTATATAGTTTACTATGTGTTGCAAGCCATGAATGGCCCGTTCAGAGCTGCGTGAGCAGGTAGCTGCGATTTCGTTGCAGCGAGCCATATATTCTCCAGGTATGGACTAAGGGTAGGTTTAAGTCTATCTAGTGGAGATGGCAGCCCTTCCCTGACGTCTTCCATCCCTGCTCCTATTCCTTCTAGATTTAGTTATGGATAAATCCTTTCTCCCACGACAGTAGATGTTGAAAGGGATGTTCTTTCTCAGGGCCCATGGCTTCTTTAGCCAGCCGATTGGCCACCTCATTGCCCGGGTCACTATAATGTCCTGGCACCTACTAGAGGCGGAGTGGGATTCCCCATGTTTGCAACTCTTGCACTGATTATTGAACCGCTTAGATGATCCTCTGTCCTAACTTATTCCATGTATTGGAGAGGGCTTGAAGTGCTAACATGCTATCACTCAGGATAGTTACCAGTTCCTGTCTATCTGTCATAGCTTGCCGAGTTTCCATCGCGATCTTGAGGACAAGACTAATGGCATAGTATATGGCCATGAGCTTGGCTGCATATACCGACCAGTATTCCATGGAGCCAATGCTGACTTTCCGCTGTTGGATCACATTATTATTTCGGTCTAGGGCGACCGAAAAATGGTGCCCGGTCTCATACTCTTTGATGTTCTTTCGAACCCTAATGCCAAGATGGACTAAACTAGTTTTATAATTATTCCGAAGACCGTTGTTTCCAGAATCCGTATTGTATTTTACGCATGTATGTATGACTAATGTAACTTACAGTACCTTGTATCAGGTTTTCAGCTGTACCTCGTTGCCCCCCTCTGAATGTCTTCCCCATAGATCCTCCCGAAACATCCGGTCGATCATTTTAGTGTAATAACAGAGATGGCACCCAATCTTGCTACATCAACCTTGACTTTAATCCGTGATATGATCATCAGCAATGAACTGTCAGTCCCCCAAATGGCAGAGTCTGCCGGTTGCAATGAGCGTACGATCAGGCGGCTACGTTCCAACATGCGCCAATTCGGCAGCGTGAAGGCGCCTCCCAACAGAAGAGGACGGCCACGAACTCTCGCGCCATTTATGATTCAAGCTCTTTGTGACCATCTACTTGAAAAGCCCTATTTGTATCTTGATGAGATGGCACTTTTCATATGGGATGAGTTTCAAGTACAGGCGACAATATACTGCATTAGTCGTGCTCTTGACCGTGAAGGTTGGTCCAAAAAGACTGCGAAACAAAAAGCAAGAGAACGAAATGCGGATTTGCGGGATGAATACAGTTATTTCATTTCAGATTTTTGCTCCTACCATCTTATTTACGTGGATGAATCTGGGTGTGATAAAAGAATCGGTTTCAGAAGGACTGGTTGGGCTCCTCTTGGTGTAGCACCCTCCCAAGTAGCCAAATTCCACCGTGATCAGCGGTATCAGATTCTTCCAGCCTATGCTCAAGACGGTGTTGTTTTATCTAAGGTTTTCCAAGGCTCAACTGATGCCTCTGTCATTGTGGGAGATGACCAGAGCCAAAATCTGTGCTAGTCATGGACAATGCCTCTTTTCACCACTCTGAAAGAATAGAGGAACTATGCATAGAGGCAGGGGTCAAACTAGTATATTTGCCTCCATACTCGCCCGATTTAAATCCGATTGAAGAGCTTTTTGCAGAGCTAAAAGCGTTTATAAAGAGGCATTGGCAGGCCTACGAAGATAACCCTGAGCAAGGTTTTGATTCTTTCCTTGAGTGGTGCCTCGAAACTGTAGGGATGAGGAAGCGAAGCGCAGAGGGCCATTTCCGAAACGCCGGCTGGACAATCGAGAAGATGTGATATGTATCACATTTTTTGGCGTTTCCCCGACTACTATATCTTGTAAAACCAATGTCTGCCTTCCGTGCTATTTTGAAGATTCCCAGGCCCTAATACCAGGAGAATCTAAAACTCCTTTGATGATAATTCGAGGTTTTTGTTACACATAAAACATTTGCTACGGTGGTTCTTTGCTTCTTAAACGCCTAAATAATATAAGACGTGCCTGCTGGCCACGTGTTCAGCAATCCCCACTTCCTCTACCGTACGATCATCTGGCAGAGATGCTCCCGCAAGATCTGTGATCAACATCAGAAGGTAAACCTCATGAAATCCAGCCTTGCCGAGCGTCAACCTTATAACTTATCCTCACCAGTTGCGGTGAGCATACTATTAGAATATTACACTTCAAAACTCGTAAAAAATCGCCCCTGCTACTTGCGGTCGGGTTTGGTTCAATAGTTCTGTCGGAACGTGAATATCAAACCCTACACGTTTTGGCACCGGATATAGTTAGTCTGACGCGGCACGTGCGTGCCGCGTATATCTAGCTAGCTATCCCCGTCCCCCTCGTTCTTGGGGCAAAAACACATTACCAAGTTAGGGAGCCAGCTAAATCCGTATCACCGCCCTCGATTTCGAGTTGATAGGCGACTTCCTTTTTAATTATTCATATCAAACAGTCAGAGGCTCAAATTCCTCACCCCTCTCTACTACTTAGCTCCCAAGAGCGCGACCGTTGACGCGTCTCAACGCGCCTGGCAACACCATGGCGCGTAAAGGCTCTGGTACAGATGGCCCTCTACAGACAGCCCTCCTGGAATCCACGTTTGCAGCCACGACAAGAGCTTCTGAAGGACAGAAGATCTTCAGCCCTATAGCTGCATTCCTCGACAAACACCGCAGCCAAACCGCCGGCCTTGCCCCTCACCTACTGAGAGCCCTCACCGCTCTAAGCGATGACCTCGCCTCAATAGCCCAACAACATTTCAACGCCTACATTAGCGGTATCTGACGACCTCCATTCCCCCTGCCCTATCCTCTTCCCCTTCCCTCACCCCAAATTCCTTCCTCCCCTCACCCCCTCTCTCACGCCCCCCCTCAGGTCTTGAACAGTCAATTATGCGATATTACCCAACATGCCCCAGCCAAATCAACTCCCAC